ACACCAGACCCAACAATGCAGATGACCTGAAGGCCGCTATCAAAGCAACCTGGGCTTCCATTACACCTGAGCAGTGCCACAGGCTGATTGCCTCCATGCCACGCCGCATTGATGCAGTAATTCATGCAAAAGGAGGCCCAACCAAGTATTGAGTGCATAGAAATGAACATACTATTCAGAAGCCTGACATTTCTGTTTGTTTTTTTTTTTTTTTTATCCTTTATTGATCTTACGTAATATTCAAATTTTCTGAGACACTGAATTTTGGGTTTTCATTATCTGTAAGCCATAATCATCAACATTTCAAGAAATAAAGGCTTGAAACATTTCACTCTATGTGTAATGAATCTATATAATATATGGGTTTCACTTTCTGAAATGAGTGACAAAAAATATTGACCTTTTTCATGATATTCTAATTTTTTGAGATGTACCTGAAACATTTATGTCATAATGATATTTCCCCCCATTTTAAATTCTTATTCTCCAATGAAAGGTTAGATTTATGTGAATTTTTAAAATAAAAGATCAAAATGATTAACAATGCAGATTTATTTTCACAGCCTTCTTTGATCATATTTACCAAGGGTGCCGATAATTCTGACCACAACTGTAACATGCTTTTACTGTCACTACTTCACTACCTTTGATCAATTTAATGCATTCTTGCTGAATAAAAGTATATATACAAACACACACACACACGCACACAATACATAACCATACATCACACAGTTTTAAGGCCCTGCACCTGTACAAGTGTAATACTACAATAGCGATGTGATCCTACGGGTGGCAGTAAAATAACTGATTGAGGTGGGAGATTACCGTATACCGACCTGAGAAACATTTTCCCTCACAATATTTAAGGAATCATGTCGTGCGTCCCATTTTCAGTCGGCTCTTTAGATTAAAAAAATTGGTCAAACGGGTTAGCAAAGACTATCTGAATCGGTTCATTCAGACAGTTCACTCACGCACTGAATCGTTTGGTCTCTGTAAAACAGAATAATTCAGATTCAGAACAAGAGCACAAGACGAGTGATGGATGAATTGGCTAATGATTTACAATCGGTTGAAATCAAACCTGCAAATTCATCCTACCGTTTGACAGCGACAAATAAGGTCTTGGGTGTGACATCTGCACCATGTGAACGACTCTGTACTGCAGGTCAAAAAAAAAAAACTGCGGTCAAGCCAGCCGCGCTTTGAAAATATACGATCAAGCCAGCTGCACTTTTTTTTTGTGTTGCGCATGTAATCGTGTATGAAGGTAGAATGACGTCAAAAAGATTTGCATACGCAGGGTAAGAGTTGTGGAAGTGTACATAAGACTGTAAGCGTAAATTACATTTGCATGCGCAACAGAAGCTTTGTAAAGGTTGTAATAATTGAACCAACAGTAATAATTTTTTATTTAACGTAATTTAAGAGGATTTTACAAAATATTACTAAAATATTTAATCACTGTTCACAGGCTTGCAGTGCTTTTGACCGTCTTTTGGTGAAAAAAACGTGCCAAAAGTGTAAGCGCGGAAACATGGAAGTCAGAAGCATGCAGATCATATTTATTTTGCGTTAGCATGAAGCTGCAGTTTCACAATACATGTATTACACTTACGAATAACAGTAAAATGCTGCAAATAATTTTTTCTTGCGCTTGAAACGCGATTTACACCTTTACAAAGCTTCTGTTGCGCATGCAAATTTAATTTACGCTTACAGTCTTATGTACACTTCCACAACTCTTACCCTGCGTATGCAAATCTTTTTGACGTCATTCTACCTTCATAATCGTGCACTTACGGTACGGGTGCATAGTCACAGTGTCCCTGACTATTACTGTATTAATTTTCAAATAATAATTAATAAGTAATTAAGAGCACAAAAATAAGTCTGGAAAGTTCTAATTCATGACATTTAAAATACGACCTGGCTAAACTAATTTATCTCTTGCATCCTGTTAAATGCCCTAATTTGGAACATATACCTTATCTTTTGAGTTAAAAAACACATAGTAAGTATTATATAACAAACATTATTTGCTATTATTATTATTAGTCTAATATTATTTCGATGTGAATTGTAGAAAACAGTCATGTTCATGTTTTGATGGGAAAAAATTGTTGAGGTTTCCTTTCCTTTCCTTTATTTTTATTTGTTTAGTTTTTTTTTGTACAGAAAGCTTGTAACCAATTATAGTCCTCATGCCTCTGCAGAACTCCTTGGTGTCATTCTGCCACAGCCTCTGCTGCAGCTTACTCCTATAATAATTTAATGATAATAATAATGCATTTTATTAGGCACCTTTCAAGACTCAATGGCACCTTAAAATAACAGTAGGCTATAAATTGATTGACTGGAATTTAAACAAGAGTTTTATTAAGACTAAAATACAGAAATAAGTTGTGATAGGGATTATGTAACCTGTGTTATGACATTTCACAGATACAAATGCAAATATGTAATTTTTTATGCAATTAAACAAAAGCCTAATATGAGAAGATGATTTTAAGTGTATGCATTAGTGTGCAGAAGCATAAATGTTCACAGGTGTTGAAGCCACAGTAGGCACTGTTGTGCAGTCTGATGGGATGTACAACAGCATGCCCAAAGTGCTGTTATTTCTTAAGATGCACAAAGTTGTTTTCTGAAATAAGAAAGGCCAAATAAATAAATAAATGTATAATATATATAAATTGCATGTATTTCTATAAAATGTATATAATATTTATAAAAGTACATAAAATATGATAAAATAAAGTTAAGTAAAATTAAAATAAAAGTGTGATCATTTTCAAACGGCACTGATAGTATATTGCTTATTTTTTCTTTGTGTTGTTAACTGTCCTTACCTGATCAGTGTCTTGTTGTATCTGGATTTTAATTTAGATAGATCATTTTTAAATTAATCTCAATACAATTGTAATTGATCAGTTACAGGTAAGGAGAAACAAGAAATTGCAGCTAAGCAGACTTATTCAATAGACTGATGATTATGGTAAACAAACACAGCAAAACAAATAATAGCTTTGCAGGCATAATCACCATAAACAAATACAACAACCTCAGGGCTATAAAAGCAAAGACATAAGAAATTTAACTAAAGGTTAGAAATTAGTAACCAT